AACTAAGCCCCGTTAGCGCATTTGCTCTGTCTTTTTGTACTTTGTCCCAGTTTTGCTTGCGTGCTGTTTGAGACAGTGTGTCACTCAGCAGTTGAGACTGGCTTGGAACTCACTATGCACACCAGGCTGGTCTTGAACCCTGTGGTAATCTAATCTGCATCACCCTACTAAGTGCTGAGGTTACAGGAGTGTATCCCCATATTCCACACAGACATTGTAGTCTTCATTAGGGATGTTGGTCTCATAGTAGGTGCTCAGTGTCTCTCCTCCATTTCTGGTCCACCCCCACCTTCTTCTCTTCTGCCCTTCCAATCCCATCCTGCCTGGAGGTCTTCCTTTATCTCATTTGGTCTAGGTTCTCAAAGGGGAGTGAATGAGTTGCTATCAAATCTTAAATCCTTGGGTTGTAGTTATTTCTTATGCTGCACCCTTAAGGAAATTAAATACATACACACATATATGTGTGTGTCCATGTATATGTATGTATATATTTAGAGAGACACACACATACAGTATATGCTTATGATTATGCAAGTACATACTTAAGTGTGTTTATGTATCTTCACACTCCATATAGCAATGAAGATATGTCCACTGCTTCTTATTTTCATACTAGACTGTCAGATCCACAAGAAGAAAATAAACTCCAGAGGTTGCCTGGCCTCCTGAAGACTCCTCAGCGCTCACTCCCCAGCTTCTTTTTAGGTGTCCTCTTTGTAGGAGCCTAAACATAGCCCAAGGTCCCTTCAAATACCACCCCATGAGCAAGGGGAAGACACGCACATGGCAAAGGGAAGCTTGGTCCAGCACTGCCATTTGGTTGAAAGTTCTGTTCAGTTTTCCGTACTGTTTAATTCTGTTTCGAGTGAAGAAATTCATGTTCCACCCACACTTGAGAAGGGGCCAAGCTGCATGACTTCACACTGCCTTTAGGACAGCTTTGGATTGCATAACTGCTTAGCTTGTTTGCTCCCAGCATCCCCAGACGCAGGAGCTGCCATATGATTCAGAACAGAGCGTTGGGCCTATGGAAAGGGTCCCTGTCACCATGGCTGGCTGGAGCTTGGGAATGTTAACCGAGTGACACACCTGTGTTCTTTTAGCTGAGCTGGCATCTGCAGCAGAGAAAATCCTACTCTGAGGGAGAAAGCCTGAGAGATTATATTGGACCTTTTTTTTAACCACTGATTTTTCTTCATTTCATTGTGTCTACTCTCTTTGGGTGGACCACTTCTCTAGTTCTGACCACACAACACAAAGCATCCCTTGGTACATTCTGTTCTTTTATTAGGTCTCTACCCAATTACAGGAACACAGTCAACTCTTCTCCAAACAGCCAGCACTTGCTGAAAAAAATCAACAACAAAGAATTTCAGGGAAATAAAGGCTCACTAGGAGAGAAGCCTAAAATAATCTTTTAAAGATAAGGTCACTGGGAAGCCTTTCCTTTGCAATCTCACATAAAGTTAGAAAGGTAAGTTGGTAGATGATAGATAGATAGATATACAGATAGATGATAGATATAATAGATAAGTTTGGTGAATGATAAAGAAATGGTAGATGGTAGATAGATGATAAATAAATAGAGATGACAGATAAATGATAGACGATACATAGAAAAAGATGATGGCCACATGATGGATAGGTGATAGATGTTTACAAAAATGATTGATAATAAACCTACAAAGATGGTAGAGGATAGATACATAACAGATCATAAATAGATTCCATGGTCTAATATGCATATTAATTGCTCCAATTTTATAGCATCTAGTAAATACAATTTCAAAGGAACTGTGAAAGTAAAGTTTCCTCTGTTGCCTTTGACCTGGAATGTTAGTAAACTCAGGGACTTATTTTCCTTCATCACAGAATGGGCCTGCAGAGCCAAGGGAAGCAATAGAGAATGGAGCTGGCAACTTTAGAGGTAAATAAAGAAAGAATTAAGTCTGAATTTTACTAGAAGCACAGTCACAACCTTTGATAGAAACAAGGTAATTAGTTCCTAAAGATGAGTATTCCAGAATGATCTTGCAGGCTACATGTCCTGGTTTTTCATTTCTGTGTGTACCCCATAAGCCTCTAACTTTTACTTGTGAGTGAAATATGCTAATTTGGGGTTAAGAACCCTAGGGATAGAAATCTGACTCCACCCCTTAAAGGTCCAAAAGCTAGAGCCATGCTGCATATCTTCTTTGCTGAAAAATCAATGTTGTCTCAAAACCAGTGAATTAAGCTTTCATGGTGAGTATTCCCATTTTGTTTTTGTAGGAAAGGCTGCCACTGGAACATTAATGTAGCCTTTATGGGTTGAAAGAATTTGGTTCAATAGTACAATATCCTCAGGAAGAGGTTGATTTGCCCCACTCTGTTGCAGGTAGGCAACCACCAATCATATAGGAACTTGAACACTGAGGCTTATGAAAGGTCCATATTTTCCTTCTGACCTTTGTCATTGAGGACTTGGTGTTAGGTTGACTGATCAAAAGTGCACTTTCACAGGGTAGACCCTAATATTGTTCAATCACACATTAATTACAAAAACAAAGGTTGATAATAATAGCACAGTTTGTGGAACTAGCTTGCCTTTGTTTCCAAGCAGAGAGTTATCAAATTCTATACATGTGCTAGGGGAGACACCTGTAATCCCAGCACTGTGAGGATGAGACCGCCTGGGGTACATAGTGAGATCCCATCTCACAAAACAGAAAATAAAAACAAAATCTACGCCAGAACTGTCACATAGAATAGAACTCAACTCAAAATACAATAATAATAATCTTTTTAGTAACCATGTAAAATAGTTTTAAAGAAAACCATCCCACATAGAGGGATACTCTCTCAGCCTAGACACACTGGGAAGGGCCTAGGCCCTACTCCAAATGATATGACAGACTTTGAAGATCCCCCATGGAAGGCCTCACCCTCCCTGGGGAGCAAAAAGGGGATAGGATAGGAGGTTGGTGGGGGGCAGGGGAGGAGGGGAGGGAGAAGGAACTGGGATTGACATGTAAAACAAGTTTGTTTCTAATTTAAATTTAAAAAAGAAAAAAGAAAGAAAACCAGGTGAAATTAATTTTAACAACATGCTTTATTTAAACTCAAGCATACCCAAGAATATTTAGATATGTAATAGGTATAAAAATGATTATGTTGAGACAGTCTAAGTTTTGCATGGTTTTTTTTTACCTAAGTCTTAAAATTTTTAGTGGGTATTTTATACCTGTAGCCTGCCTCAAGTCCGATTGGCTGTATCTTAATTTCCTATGGACCACATGTGACACATGTATTGAATGACACTGTTCTAGACCCTCCATTTGCAAACTGTATGGTTGTGAGGTAGTGATTAATCCTCTGTGAGATCCCTCTTATTCTCCCATAACAAGTAGGTATTTTTCAATAATTTTGGGTCTGTCCTGTCATCAAAAGGTTAGTCTACAAAACTACAAAATATCCTCAAGAATGACTGATGGCTTGATCCATTCTAGAGATATGAGTCTAGAAAGTTTTACACATTGAGTATCATGATAAAGATGTGTGGCCCCAAGGTACAGTCTGGAATTGAAGAGTTCGTTACTGCAAGGACTGCCATAACCTAACAGAATAGCAAAATGGATGCTCGTAATGAGACAAACAACACCCAGGGTTCCCCCTAATGGCTATTCACAAGTAGGCAGATTTGCAAATCGGAGATTGTCTTCACTGAAAGATAATGAAACACCTGGGGGTGTGGCTCAGCCAGACTACATTTAATTAGTGTACAGAATACTGCATTCAGTCCCCATACCACCACAGGAAGAGGAAGAGAAAGAGAAGAGGAGGGAGGGAGGGAGAGAGGGAGGGAGGGGGGAGGGAAGAGCTGGTCAATGGTGGTGCATGCCTTTAACTCCAGCACTCAGGAGGCAGAGGCAGGCAGATCTCTGTGAGTTCCAGGCCAGCCTGGTCTAAAGAGCTGGACAACAAGGGCTACACAGAGAAACCCTGTCTCAGGGTGGTGGGGGAAGGAAGGAAGAGAAGAAAGATACAGTTAGTAAAGGAGTGAATGGGGAAATTTCTAATGTCTTAGGGGCTCCTAGGTGGGTTTTTTTTTTTCGTTGCCTGGCCTGTGCTACCTCTTCATTCTCCCCCATCAGTTAATTGTGACATGAGGCAGGATGGGTGACAGGTTTTGGCTAGCTCACTCTCCACAGAACCCTGGACTGAGATCAGAGTGGAGGCTTCCTCCACTTAAGATCAAACACGATGAGATGGCAGAAACAGTGGCAAGATGGCAGAGAAGGGACCTGTCCTCCATTCCACCTCCACGCTCAAACTCATGCCTTGTTTCTGTGACATGTGGACAGCACACCGGGCACCAACTAAGATCTTGCATTGGAAAAGCAAGAAGAGCAGACTGAGTCTCATCTAATTTATCACAATTCCACACTAAGAGGCTGGCAACTCATGTAAGTGGGGTACCATAGGTAAGAACCAAGGAGATTTGAGGGAACAGCGTGTGTGTGTGTGTGTGTGTGGTGTGTACAGAGCTATGGGTAAAACTGAGACGGGAGTAACTGCTCTCAAGCAATGACCCCAAAGTGCACATGGCTTTTGTTATATCTGGCCGGCTCAGTAACTATCCAAGTTATGGGGCGACAGGGGATCCTGTCTAGACCGGTTCTTTTGGCCTTCAGATTGGCAGAGCATAGAACCAGAAAGCCTAATCATGGCCCAAATATCTCTGCATTTTTTTTCCTGGTAGACAGTCAAGCTGGGTGGAAACTAAATCCCAAACAATTACCAAATAGCAATAAATGAGAAAATAAAAAGACAGTGAAGCCTTTCTTTGGTCCTTGATAGCTATGTCCTGGCTCTGAAGCCATAGCATGGTATTTCTGGAGTAAACAGCTGTGTGACAGAAGCACAGTAGAGAGCCTTTTCCAGTGGTACAGTCATCTCATCATGTCACATGTGTTTTCTGGTATCAAACATGATCCTTTGACAGGAAGAACACAGCAACGTATAACTGAAATAATTTATTTACCACTAGAGCACCACAAAAACCAGACATACATTGTGTTAAAATACAGCATAATTGGTCATCAAAACACATAACAGCTATTCTTATATTCCCATTCTTTAAAAACCATGCCAACCATAAAATTGTACTGTCATTTAACACATACAATCTGCTGCCCCACCCATATACTAACACGCCCCTCCCCACTCCTACTACCTCTCCCATGGCGATATTTACTAATGGGAAATAAAGACCTGTAGATCCCACAGGCTTTAAAAGAGACAGAGAGAAAAGTTCAAGAAACCTTCAAAAAGAACAGTCAGTGCATTCAGAAGGAGAGAGAAAATCATACAGAGCAAAAACAGTCATTTTCTCTGAGAGAAAATACCTGCAGAAATAAGGGGGTCATAACACAGAAATAACAGAAGAGTGGAAGGGGACAGCAAAAGAACACACAGGCAAATCTGGGTTTGTGTTGCACAGGACACAAGAGACATTCACCAGGGCTTGATGTCTGTCTTCTGGTTTGCAAATCCCTTTCCTCATTTTCATGAATTTTGAGAAAAATCTCCCCACTATTTGATTTACCATATCAAAAAAAAAGTCTCTTTGTATTCACAACTCACTGTATTTTCCCTTTGGCCATAAATATTCTATAAATTCCATATCTGGATAAGACCATAAATATTGCTTGTGGTTTAGTTTGTATTTTGAAGCTACATAAGTGACAAAGCCCATTGCCAGGTGCCACCTCTGAAAAATAGGACAACCTATTTCCTTAAGCCAAAGCTAACCTCAGCCATAGAGCATTCTCACCCAGATGAAAGGAAGAAAATTTTGACAAGGGAGAATTTGGCTTGTGCCTTTTCAACCTTCAAAGAATTTCTTTCAAGACCAGAACTTCGGGGAAATTAACGAAATGACAAAAGATGGTCTGGACTTTTTCCTCACTTTGAAAAACTCAACCCATGTGTGTTATCTTTCAAATCTCCCCATGGAACCAAAAGCCTGATTAAAGAAAAAAGTGCTTTTTTTTCTTTAACTGTCTGCTTTTTAACAACAACAAAATTCCACAAATATATGAATTAAAGAAAGCTAGAGAAACTTTTCCTCGCCCAGTTACCAGGGTTCTGAGTTTAGATTCTTAAACCCTCTCTGAAACTATTTTTGTGTTCAACTGTCTGCACTGACACAGCTCCGTCTTCCTTGGAGAACTCTGTCATCCAGCTTGACAAGCTAGTACTGACACAGAAAAATGGGTGAAGAGCGTAGAACTCAAACACACCTTTTTGTTTTCGTTTGTCTTTGTGTTTCGTCTTTCAGAAAAGAACAGGAAAGAGGGGGAAATGAATCCAGGTATCTTAGGTCATTAAATGGTCAATACATAAACGACAAGCAGAGGAAATATTATTTTTAAAAAAATGAATTTGTAGTGCAAGTCAAAATCTAGGGGTTTTATTCAAAGGTACTGGCCAGCTAAAGGAAACAAACATACAATCTTGAATGATCATTAAAAAAGAGAGTCAAATTTAAGTTCAATCTAAACCATAATCATTATTACAGAATATCAAAATATGGCATGGATCTACATATTACACATAAAGTAGTTAATGTTTTGATTTAACGGTTTGTAAAAACGGATCTGCAGATGTGTTTTCAATTATGCTGGCTTCTAGACCCACCTATTTTAATAGTATCACTGTGATTACATATACCAGGACAAAGGAAAACAACCTGTATCAGAGCTCTCCAGACACTTCACGGTCCAAAGTCTGACAATACACATCAAAACAGGTCAACATTTCACTGGCTTGCTTAAACTGGCAAAGAACCATTTACAATTAAACGAGAAAAAAAAAGCAAGCTTCCAGATTCCCACTGACTCCAAGTTTTCTTCGTTAACAGGCCTTCTCAGTGTATGGCTGTCCAGGAAGCCTCTGCTATCACTTGCTGCACAGTGCATCTTCTTGGGGCTTCTATGCTTTCGCAGATTTGCTCGGTCATATAAGGACTCAAGAGGGCTTCATCCCATATGACCTCCTGTTTTTCCAGCTCATTTGAGTTCAAATTCCTTGAGCCATCCATGAGTTTATGGCCAAGTATTTGGTCTCCACTTTATACACCTGTTTTGTTTTCCAAGGGCAGTGAACGGTTCATTATATAGTAACACACAATAAATAACCCACTGAGAGCTCAGAGGAAGGGACGGGGAGAGTGTGTGCTGCAGAGCAATACTGAGGATCCAGGAAAGAAGCAGGGCTGAGGTGAGGGTGGAGACAATACATACAACTCCGCTGAACGGATTTTCCTGTTTGTTTTGTTTTTTCTTTCACATAATTAACACTAACAAATTCTTCCAGTGTTTATTTTTTCCTTTAAAAAAAAGACATTTCCTTTTTGTGTCTCTCACAAAAAGTAGGTGAAATGCAGACTAAAGCCTTCCATGTTTTCTTTTTTGTTGTTGCTGCTGCTGTAATCTCAGATGCCAGTTTTAACGAACAAAACACAAGCTCGCAAAATGTTTGAACTAGTACCGATTTTTCTCCGATTTCTCTAAACACTGATGAATCAAAATTCCCTCGTGTCACAAACATCGTCATCGTCACCGTGGTTTTCTTGTCGTCGTCACCGTGGTTTTCGTGTCATTGTCACCGTGGTTTTCGTGTCGTGGCCTTTCTGAGGACCTTAGCTGCATTTGCAAGACTTGACAATCATGTTGGAAAGTTGTTCGATCTTGGGTGTGTTGCCAATGTAGTAGAGGATGGTGAGAGGCTCCAGATCTTGGGACACACAGCAAGGAGAAGCAGAAGCTTCCGGATTTATGGTATTGTACAAACTGAGGACCTGAGTGACACGACACAGGGACACACACACAAGCAAGCCAGTGATTAGTTCCATTGGTTTTTAAACTTTGTGCTTACATGCATGTGTATGTACCTGCAAGCAGGGGCCAGTGGTTGATGGAGTGTGTCTTCATCAGTCTCTCTCCACTTCATCATCTGTCTGTCTGTCTACCTATCTGTCTATCTGTCTATCCTTCTATTTATCTGTCATCCATATATCTCTCCATTAGGCTGATCTCTCATTGAACCTGTAGCTCATTGATTTGGCTAGGCTGGCTTGGTCAGCGAGTTCCGGGGATCCTCCTACCTCTTATAAACCCACATCTCTGAGTTTATAAGAAAGAGTACATCACCACATCACCACAGCTTTTATGTGGTTGATGGGGATGTGAACTCCAGGTTCTCGTACTTACAGTATTTTACCCACTGAGTCATCTCCTCAGCTCCGGGCCACTGAGGAGGCAATCTTAGCTACTTTTTTCTTACCTCTAAGTTATGGTCAGATTGGCTTGCACCCTTAGTAATGTCCAATTTAGACTTTTCCCACAGGTTGCCTTTGTTCTTTTTGTACAAATTAAACAAATGATTTCATAAAATTCCATAAAAAGCATGTCAAATTCTTCAGTTAGCAGATTTTCATATTTTTTCCAATAAATCTACTGTCCCTTGCTACACAAAGACCCCAGGCCTCCTGCTATTTGCTCTTGTTTCTATATAAACTTGGAAGCAAGGCCCCATGAATACCTATTTTACATTCCCACACTGGTTAAGAGCTCCTTGACTCAGGGACTGCTCACTTTGTGTATGCATGTAAGTCTACGAAGCTCTTGTCTGCCCAGTATATGACTCACATGCAAAATGACAAATAGAGGGATAAAATATCCCACTGAAGTTCTTGTAAAACTGTAACCTACACTCGGGTATAGAAATTATGACTGCCTGCAGCAGGATAACTTCCTGTTAAATGTCTTCACAGGCCAATGAGATGTCACTTACAGTTTCATTTTTAAAGAATCCCTTTACTTATCCTTCTTATAATTACAGTGACATAAAGAATGGAGGAAAAAGCAGCATGAAAGCCACATGGATTCTTTGTTTCATTTCACTTTGATACAAAAATCTTCCTTTGTAGCCCACACTATGTAATAGACCAGGCTGGCCTTGAACTCACTATGTGGCCCTGGTTGGCCTTAAACTCACAATACCCCTGCCTCAGCCACTTGAATTCTGGAATTACAGGCATGCTCTACCCCACCCAACTAGCTAATCTATGGTTCCAATTGTTCACTTTCTTCTATTTTGCTTAAAACAATAATAGTAACTAACCCTCCATTAACATTCCTCATGCTAAATGGGGATGACTAAGTTCAAGAACTAAATACCAAGTCCTACAGTAGAAGAGAAAGTGCTGTACGTAGTTCTGAAGCTTTATCCCAGTCTCCATCACAGGAGTGTGTGGCTCTTGTTGATGGGAGTGTGTAGGTTACCCAGTGATGACAGAAACATTTCTAAGGATGCCATTAATGTGTTAGTCAAACAAGTGACCTTTTCCTCGAGATTCCCTGGGATGTTTTCAACTGAAGACAAGAGACCTGTTGAGCGCAGCAACACTGACTACTTTATTAGGCTACCTCTGGCTTCTTGGGGAACTGTCCAAACCACATATTTGTGACCATGACAGTTATTCTTCCTTCTCCTTGAAAAACAAGCCTGGCCCCAGGCTTCACACACTCCCTCTGTGTATCAGGGAGGAGAATTACGTTTCGACTTGGCAACAGGACCCTGCCTGAGTTACAGCTACTGCTGTTGCAGTCCAGATGAAGTGGGCTGGCCAAAGAGCTCAGACAAAGGGACAGGCATGAGCCAGCTTCCCTCACATGGCCAAGCACGTGGTCACCCCTGAGTGCCAAGCCTACAGGGGCACTGGGAAAATGACTGGAGGAGGGGAAGCCATGTTTGTCCATTTCAATTCCAGTCCAGGCAGGCATTTATAAGTAAATGGACCTCATGTTCCACTAATACGTAGTTGTTCATAAGCAGGAAGAGCCACTTTTTATAACACAGATTGCCTAAAATAATTGATAAACCCCCAAGTCTTGAATTCGGCCAAACGCGATCGCTCTGGCAGCAGATTCATTTTCCTACCCTGCAGTGAAGGCAATGTTTCTAATGCCTCTTTAATAAGGAGATTTACAGGGGCGTAAAGAGCAGAGCAGAAACCTCTACTTGCTGCCACATTTTAGGAATTAAGCTCAGAAAGAGGGAGCAATGGGGACCGGATTATAAAACAAACAGGGCTGCAGTCCAACCTCTGGCCTATCACTGGTCTCGCTTTCATCTTGGGCAAGGCACCCACACAATCTAAATCTAATTTCTTTGTTTTATGAAAAATTTTGTTTGAACGAGACCATGTCTGAAGTCCTTCCCATCTCTAAAATTCTACACCATGAGCCACAAAGAGGAAACTCACTAATGAATACAGAGAAAGTTTGTGCTCATCCAGGCCTGGGATGAATGTGATCCATTTTTGGATCTTCTTGCTGACTTAGCACTCTGCCCTCATTGAAGAAACTTGATAAAATATTTAGCTATTTGTTCTCTTTGGGTCATAATCATAAAGGTTTAGAGAGAAGGATGTGGTAGTACATGCCTGTAATCCCAACACTTGAGAGACAAAAGCAGAAGGAATGCCATAAATTCAAGGCCAGCCTGGGCTACATAGTAAGTTTCAGGACAATGAGATATGTATCAAAAAAAAAAAAAAAGCAACCACCGACAAACGAAGTTTTAGAGATATTCACCTTAAATATATAGGTTGTATTTCACAACAACTATTGAGTTTGGCATTGTTATTATTATTATTATTATTGTCACTATCATTCCTGACTGAGGCATGAGTAGGAAAGACAAACAATTCAGTTACTCACCTTGGTGTGCTGAGTGTCTGAACTCCACAGATACGGGCATGCCCCAGCACAGAAGTTGGCATTATACCCTTTGGGTTCATGGATCCATTTCCACCCAAGATCCCTCTTGAAATCAATGTAAAGAGGGCGGAGGCAGCAATTATCCTGCACATTTCTGTTAAAAGAAGAAGAGTTGTTTTCCCATGCATCTCACCCTGAGTCAGAAAAATGAGCCATTCACTCATTCCACCCAACAGCAAACACCATGAGACTGGTCTTGATGGCTCTCTTGTCATCTCACATGATGTCAACAGTGAGATGCCACAATGAGTCCCTACACACTACTTTCCAGTATATATTCTGTACCCTGACCTTCTTGTCTATAAACTAGAAAATCAATATTCGTCTTCAATGAACTAAGCGTGAACAGGAAGACAGTTGGGAAGGGCGGTGTCCTTCCTGCTGAGCAGCCGCCATCCAGCCTCTGTTTTGCTGCTATTTTGTGCAAACAATAACTAAAATGCAACAGATACTTTCAGAAAGCCTTTCTGAATTTATCCTATGCTTGATCACTTGTTACTAGATCAAGGAATGAATCAGAGTTCAAGAAATATCAAGTCTTGTCTTAATCACTGTCTCTGGTGACCAAAATATCCTCTTCTGTCTGTGACCTATGACATGGTGACCATCTCATGAAGGGGACCCTACCCCTGATACACAACTTCCAAAACAAAGAGTCTTCCGCCAACAGGGAGCACAGAAGGTCATGCATCTTCCCCTGCAGGAATTCATACAAAAGTGGCAAACAAATTCTTGCAGCCTAAGGTACGACTATCAGCCTTCTTGTGCCATCTTATTTCTATACCTCAGAAAGAGATCAAACCCCAGGTGAAGAATTCTTATAAATGATGGATCTTACTTATCTAGCCAAAACCTCAAGGAAACTTGTGGGGAAAGAGCTATCAGAACTTATCAGAACCCAAGCACATTAGAGAGACTTGTAGGAAAAACTCTGATCTAGTTTTCTGTCTTCACACCTGGTCCACAGCATGGAAAGAACTATTGAAAGTCTTCAGGAAATCTCAATGACATGGCTGCCTAAAGAAGACCTGAACAAGGACACCAGTGACATGCCAGCAAGGATGGGGTAAATGTCATAGGGCGCTGCTCCCACATAAAGACCTATAGGCCATTAGTGATGGCTAAGAGATGAAGAATTAGACTTTCCCAGAGATGCACCCTCTATTGGTTGTTCAAAACAAAGTGATCAGCCCAAAACATATATAAATAAGCAACACTAAATAGAGTCAGTAGGTTGCATCTATGTATTTATTTGTGCGCATGTGTGCGTGTGTGCATGTGTGTGTGTGTGTGTGTGTGTGTGTGTGTGTGTGTGTGAATAATAATTGAAGAAAAAGAGGCCATGAATTTGGGAAAGAGCATAGAATAAAAGTGAGGGGTTGGAGGGAGGAAGTGGTGTACTATAATTACATGTTAATAAAAAATAATAAAATATTTTTAGAAAGTCCCTGGAGACACCGCTGTCATGAGATCCAAAGCCTTTACTGTCTATACCTGTCCTTGAGCAATGACTTCCATTCAGGTCAATATATGAAGGAGAAAGGAGAAAGCAAAGACAACGCAAGGGTTAACAGATGCAATCATTTGTTTTCATTTCTTTACCTAAAGCAATAGGCAGCATCCAAAGCACGCTTCTTCCGCCGATTGGACTGTTGTGACTCCAGTCTGTAGGAGGGCAGCAGCATTAGCAGGAGATGAGGGGTCTTCCCACTGTTTTTCTTCCTAGTGGACTTTATAGTCTTCTGATCACCACTGCTATATGTGGAGGTGCCATCAATACCTTGAAAAAACGCATTTGGGTAATAAACATTTAGCTTCACCTTTGCCAAACATAAGCAGCAATGTTCATATAATATAGTTTCCCCGCATATACGGTCACAAACAACCATGATGACTAGTGCAGCTGCATCGGCTGGCTAATATCATTCCCCATAGACGCAGATATGGCACAATGGGCCTCGCACAAGGGACAATGGACACATCTAAATGGGCCTCTTGTCCAGTGGCAGTTCTGTGTTGAAGGCATGGCTATTACTGGGAAAATCACTACAGAAGGAGTCTTTGACCTATGGTCCAAGGGCAATCTAGGCAGTTTATTTTAGTCCATCCTCAGTATGGGCTGTGTTCAAGCTCTCAGCAACAGAACACACAGCCATAGAGCATGCCTTGTCGCCTGCTGGTTCCCTCTTTTCCGGAGACCGTCAACCCAGAGACTTTCCTAATGAGCATAACCCGAGGTGCAGCTAAACGGCCGTGAACTAGGTTCAAGTGAAACAGGAGTCACCCTTACCTAATGCTATTTTGGGAAGCTGTGCAGAAAGAGCTTTTTCATTTACTTTATGGCATCCTCAACACTTTTCTGATTCCATCTGAGATTTAGAAACTCGAGCCCCTAAAGCATGCTCCGGAGAGTGCCAGTTTAAGCATTTAATCCCCACTCAGAGAATCGCAGCTAGGTTAGAGACCAAAATAAATCTCTGGCCCTTCAGGGAGTGTTTTTCCATGAGCACGGCTGCTGGGGATTTCTAAAAGTAGACTGAAGTCCCAGGTGAGGTTATGAGGGAAGGCTGGCAGATGCCACACACGGTGTGGCATGACTTCCCCTTCACCTCCTCACCCGACAGGTCACTGTCTCGGAAGTCAAGGGACTTGAACCCTCGGCATCTTCATTCACTCTGTATGTTGATGAATTCAACTCCAAGGTGAGCAGGGGAAATGAGAATCTCGTTCTGTGTTTATTGGCTGCTGCTGAAATATGGCAGGGAAGCCACTTGAGATAGAGGGTGCAGGCTAGAAAATGGTGGTACGCCCTGACACCCGGAAGGTAAGGTACAGAAACCGAGATGGGAGACCATTCTCGTCTTTGGTGAAGTGTACTTGTTGGTGCTTGAACTTTTGCTTCTGAGGTTAGAGATGGATTTCCTTGAATCCTGCTCTCTACTTCAATCATCTCAGCAGATAGAAAGCTGACTTGCTTGGGCGAGGAATAAAGGGCTTGGAGAGAGGTGGAGGGGGGAACCCAGAGGTGGGGGTGGGGTGGGAGGGAGAACTGTGATTAGAATGTAAAATGAAATTAAAATAAATGCAAAAATTATGTACATGTGTGAGGGTATGTACTTGAGTACAGGTGCCTTGGAGGCCAGAAGAGGCTGCCAGATTCCCCTGGAGCAGGAGTTACAAGCAGTTGTGAGCTCCCTGGTGTGGGTTCTGGGAACTGAACTCAGATCCTTTGCAAGAGCAGTACCCGATCCTAACCACTGGGCCACCTCTCCAGGCATATGCTCTACTTTCTTTTCTCTCCCACCAAGCAGATCATGTCCAGATGAATGAAAGTTCCCACCCACCACCAAACAATGTCATTTGCACTTGCAAACTGACACAGCCCCTCAGAAGGCGTGTGAGGATGAAGCTTCCATTACCCGCGAATCTGGCTTCGAGCTCTTCGCTTTTATTCGGGATGATGTAATTATTAGATGGCACGAAGGTGCAACAGGGGCAGTGCAGACTTATCTTAAATCCCAGGTTCCTGTCTGGAAAACAGTAAGTGAAGGAAGTCAGTTGTATGTGTGTCTACGTCTGCGGTCAGTGCGCAAGCTGTCGGGGGCCACGTCTGGGGAGAGAAAGGGGAGGAGGAGCTTTGTAACCTTTGTGGTGAAGCCACTCGTGCACGGCGTCCGTCACATCGAAGGAGAGCCATTCGCCCTCGGCTCTCGTTTTCACAACCTTGCTATCGATGTAGCGCTGCGTTGGAGACGTTAAGTCTTTGGATTTGAGAATCTAGAGAGGGGGAAGAACAGGAGAAACCACTCAGCCGGATGCTGACGGGATGACCTAACCCAAACCAACCGCACTTTTTCAAGTCAGCAATGACTGTTAGCTCCAAGTCTGTATTCGTACATTAGCATCCTGACGGTGAGGTGACAAGGTAACACACCAGGAGGCTTGCTCTGAAAAGTATAACGAAATCTGCTGTGTGTTCTGATAAAGATGACTGCAACCATAAAGCTTGGTGTCGAAAGAAAAGTGACAGTCATTATTTTACTTTGCTAACAGAAGCTCTGTAAGAATCCAGAATAAAGCCAGGCGTTGGTGGTGCACGCCTTTAATTCCAGCACTAGGCAGATCTCTGTGAGTTCAAGGCCAGCTTGGTCTACAGATCGAGTTCCAGGACAGCCTACAAAACAATACAGAGAAACCCTGTCTCAAAAAACCAAAATAAAAATTAAAAAAAAGAATGAGTCCGCCATAATTTTAAAAAATGCTATGAAGTTTGTGGCTTTGTTGTTCTATCTCCTTACTTCTTTAATTTGGGGATCTGGGAGATGAGGGCAAAGTTCAGAAGACCACGCCCTCCCTCCCCATCCCTGGATTATAAATCCTCCAATAGATAGAGGAAGGGCTTGCTTCTGTTTCCCAAATCTGCTGGCATTAAAATATGTGCCCTGTTTTGAGGTAAACCTCTGGTTGGGGTTTTGACTGTCAGTGTGATTTGTGATTGGGGGTAAAATCCTGCATCCTGCCATCTCAGAAGGACTTCGGGCTGGAGCGGTCTGTCACAATGTGCCAATGAGAGGCTGATAGGATTCGCCTGAGCTTGAGACTTCAGGAAGGCAGAGAAGGACCTGTGACGGAATGCTCTGGGGTTTTGCAGGAAGTGTACATCTGAGGTGGTTTCTACAAGTCTCTTTTAAAATGATCACATTTTATGAACTAATCTGTGGCCCTAAATCTCCTGGAGCTCTAGTGAATCCTTTTCCAGCTAATGGCCTGCCTTTCAGTGGTACATGTGAGCTCAAGTCTCGGGGTTTTATACAGACCTTTCTGGTTCCCAGACTAATTTTGAAGGTGTTTCCTACTCAGGGATGCGGTTCCTCCAGTAAATGCCTAAGCCTCTCTAGATCATGCCATCAACTTGACAACATTTCAAAGAGTAACTACTGATTCAACAGCTACTAAATGAAGAGATAATCTAGTAGATATATTTGTTCCCTGGTAAGCTGCAAAACCAAAACATAATACCAGCTAGTTGTTAATGCACACTCCCTAACACACACACACACACACACACACATACACACACACACACAGTTTGCTGCAGATAATGTGGCATCTAACGTTTCCTGGGATATTGGGGTTAGAGTAGATTCACCCCCAGAGTTAACAGAGAACTATGGAGAAGAAGGAAGCAACCGCTGGGGCTGTAGCTCAGTGGGAGAGCACTTGCCTAGCATCTCTGAGGCCCTGAGTTAGATCCCCAGACTAGAGAAGGAATGGAAAAACAGGGAGGGGGGGAGGGAGGGAGGGAGGGGGTAAGGAGGAGGGATGGGGAGGGATGGGGAGGGATGGGGAAAAGAAAGGATGGTAAAATGGAACCAAAAACGAAGTAACAAAGGAGATGGGGAAGGAGGGAAGGACAAAGAGAAAGGAAAGGAAGAAGGACGGAGAAAAGAAGAGAAGGGAGATAGGAAGGAAGGGAAGGAGAGGAGAAGAAAGGGAAGGGAAGAAAAGAGACGCCTTATTCACATGCTCAGGTGTCCTCCTGGACTTTAGACAAACTTACTCCACAGGACTGCTCAATGGACGAACCCCACTAGATGGAAGAATGTAGGGGTAATCACATTCCTGTAACAAGCTAGAAGTTTTCACCAGTTAAAGAAAACCAATGAACGTGACTTCAAGGCTGGGTACAATGGACTCTGGGCTTAATGCACTCTATTTGGTTTAATTTAATCCTCCAAAGATTCCTGTAAAGTAGATTAAGCAAATGGAAAATCAGGGAGGATTCAAAGCCCATTCTACCCCCAAGGCATTTTCCCACTTTGTCATGACAAACAGAGTGGGACCATGGGGTCACAACCCTTTTTCATAGGGTAGGAAGAATTCAATAATCAAAGCAAATATCTTTGAACAAGATTATAATAACTCTGGATGCTGGCGGAAGGCATACCTAGCTGAGGCTGACACAACACAGCATCTGTGAGTCCTCTAGGGATAAGAGGCTGAAGGAGACACAACTTATCCAACTGAGAATAAATGGCACAATGTGCCCAATATGGAATAAGAATATAAAAACAATAGTGAAGATGGAATTTCATCCCCTTCCCTTACTGGCCAACAGTTCAGAGCATGCCCAGACTCATCCTTCCGCTTTGGATTTTTCTCCTAGGATATCTTCTGTTAGATGGTTCATTATTACATTATAATTTGCATATTTTCTGTGCTTTAGTAGCTTATTCATCTTCATGTAATTAATACTTAGGAATACCTCATTTTCGTTGTTGAAATAATTACATATAAATTACATTTTATGTGATTATCTAATACTATGATAGAACAATTTATATTATAAATTTTGCATGTCAAATTAAATGTACATCAAACACCTATGCAACACATGACACATGTACATGATTCTATCTACACACAAGTACACACACACACACACACACACACACACAGCATGCATATACATAACATCCAGTCTCGCAGAAGACAAGAATATTGTGAACCTCACTAATCAATTGGAAGAAAAACACATACTGGCACACTGACAGAAAAATTTTATTCTCTTACATTTCTGTACATGCGTGAGCATGTATGGAAGCACTTGTGTCATGATAGGTGTGGCAGTCAGAGCACAATTCACAGGAGTCAGTTCTCACTGCCATTGCGTGGGTCTCAGGAACTGGACTCAGGTCAGCAGGCTTGGTGGCAGCCATTGTTGTCTGCTGAGCCACCTCACCAGGCCACTGAGCAGGAAATCTACACTGTCCTGATTTGATAGCAAAGGGACTCTGGCTTTTTCTGTTGTGACTCCATTGGAGAGTTAGGGGTTGGGGCCTCCTCAATCCCAGAGCACTGGGAGGCTCAGTCAATGGACTGAGAAGAGCCTGCTGGATTGTTTCTGTACAGGCTTAAGAGTCATGAAAAGGCCACGTGTTGATAACCAACCCCAAGAAAGACAGGAGGTCCTGTAATTCTGAGACAGAGAAGGGATGATTTTCTTTGTGCACAGGATCTTGAACTCTCTGGACAAGGACTTCTTAAACTCACAGTCTTGACTCCAGTCTTCTCCAGTCCTTAGCAGAAACAGGAAACAGCTGTTTCTCATCACTCAGGGGAGCGTCCTCAGGCTCCTGAAGACTCTCATTAAGTCCTCCTCACCATGCCTGTTTTCTCTCTCTAAACTAAATAAGCAGAGTCCCTTTAGACCGGTTTTAGAGGGGCAGACTCCCAAACCTCTCATCGCTGAGCGGCTAACAAGGACTTATGGAGCTTGTCAAAAGTGTCCCTCCACAGCATTCATGATCTCCCCCCAGAACTGTCTAGAAGAGCTTCCAATCACACCTCACCACGAAAGCTTCACTTCATAGTTGTCTTCAAAAGCTATAGGTGCCACTCCTCCAAGTCCCTGCTTATTCCCATATGTCAGCATGTCAAGTCTAAGAGAAGACGTATGGGAGTCAATCTGATGGGGAGGTAGCTCCAGCAGTAAAGTGCTGAGTTCAGACCCCCAGTGCTCACCTGAAAAGTCAGGCATGGAGGCATGCATCTGTGTCTACAGTATGAGAGCAGAGGCAGGAGGATTTCAGAAGTTCCCAGCCAGTCAGCCTAGCTGAATGAATAAGCTCCAGGTTCACCAAGAGAGACCACTTAAAAGGAGGAAAGGGGTCAAAGAGCACATCCAATATTCATCTCTGGCCTCCACATGCATGTACACACATGTGTACACACATGTCTACACACACACATACACACACACACACAAGTCACACAAAGAAGGACTAGACCAGTTAGCCTTTGCTACCTGACCCTTTCTCTAGTCCCTAAGCCAGGGCATGGAATGTGACCAGTTGCTGGTTCCTTCTGGATCCAAAGTCACTTGTTGCTGTGTTTCTTTCTACAACTTATTGTGACGGGGTAGTTTGGTTGATGAGCAGCTATCTTTCAGGACCTGGTTAACCAACGGTGCCCATCCATTCTAGATTCTATCCTCAGCTGGACAGAGCCTGCCATTGCTGGGGCTCTTGTGGAACATGACTTTCTAACCACTTCTGACCTTGCCAGGTGAGCTGAATTGCATGTTTTCCAGCTGGCTGATGATACCTGGACTTGGTATTGAGATTGTTAAAGTTAATTCAATTCTTAGACTAAGCTGATGATGTACAAGATCAAAAGAAAAGGGAGGTAGGACTTCTGAAAAAACAAAACAACAACAACAAATCCACCAATGCATTCTAGAAGGTCTTCATAATGATGACTTGCTATAAGGAAAAAGTGTATTTTTGAAGACAGCATAGCAGTTCCTCCAAAAAGTAAAGAGAATTGCCATGTGATCCAGAAAACTCACCCCATCTATAACCCAAAAGAATTGGGAATCCAGGCTCAAACAGATAACATATATACCAATTATCTTAGTTACTGTTCTTCTGCTGTGAAGAAACACCATGACCAAGTCAGCTTATGAAAGAAAACATTGGGAGCTTGCTTACAGTTTCAAAGGCTTAGTCCACGATCATCATCGTGGGTAGCATATCAGCCGCAGGCAGGCATGATGCTGTAGTTGTAGCTGAGAGCTTATATTCCGGTGCACAGGCAAGAGACAGAGAAGGGGACAGACTGGGCCCGGCATGGGCTTTTGAAACCTCAAAGCCCACCAGGCGGTGGTGGCGCACGCCTTTAATCCCAGCACTCGGGAGGCAGAGGCAGGCGGATCTCTGTGAGTTTGAGGCCAGGCTGGACGGACAGCCTCCAAGACAATACAGAGACACCCTGTC